GGGGGACGCTGTCCCCGCTGCGCCCCCCCAGCCCCTGGCCCCGCGCCCCGGGGTAGCCGGGCCACCAGCGCAGAGAGCCGGGGAGTGGGTCCTGCCAAGCCGGGCACCCCGGGGCTGGCACTGCCCGGCCGGCCCCCGGGGGCGCAGGCGGCGGAGAGGGCGCCCCGCGCCGCGCACTTTCCTTTCGATTCTTCGAAAGCCGCGGCCGGGCCAGGGCTCCCGCAGCCGGCGGGGGGAGAGGCTCCGCGGCCGGGCCAGGGCTCCCGCAGCCGGCGGGGGGAGAGGCTCCGCGGCCGGCCGGGCTCTAGCCCCGGGGGCGCCTCCGCGCCCCGGCCGCAGCCAACTTGGGGCAAGAGTGTGTCGGGGCGCGGAGAGCCAGCCCAGCCCGCGGGCCGGCTCCCATTGGCAGGGCAGGGCCGGCTCCGCCTTCTCCCGGCCGGCCCCGCTATAAGTAGGTGCCGTGGCTGGCCGCTGCCTGTGCCGCACGCCGGGCACCGCTGGCCCCGAGCCATGGAGCGCTGGGTTTACGGCTCGCTCTGGCTCGTCTTCGCGGGCAGCCTCCTCCTGCGACTCTCCCGCTCCCAGCTGCTCCTGACTCGGGCCCTGCTGCACCTGGGGCTGCTGGGGCTGCTGCAGTACCTGTGCCAGGCGTGCCTGCCTCTGCCGCTCGGCGCCGCCCTCACCGCCGCCGGCTGCTTGGCCCTGGGGCGCGGGGCCCAGGGGCGAAGGCTCCCCGTGGTGGGGAAAGCCGTCTTCATCACAGGTGAGTGCGCCTGGCATCCGTGCCCAGGGCTCAGCCTCCCTCCTCCCCGGCGGTTAATGTTTAATCGGCCTGTTGTAGCTGGGACGCCTGCTTGTGCCAGGAGCTGGGTGAACCCGTCTCCGGTCAGCGCGTGCACCCGGCTGCAGTGCCGGGCGGGTGATTCCGTGTGTGTGTGTGTGTGTGTGCCCATGTCGGTGTGATGTCAACGGCATGTGTTCACACCAGGTTCCTGCACAAGGGCGCCGATGTCCTGTGGAAAGGGCCCACCCGGCCTGTGCAGCAGAGCCGTGGTTCTGAAGGCTCAACGTGAGATGGGCCGTGCGGATGCCTGCGGTGTGGCGTCCCGGATCTGCACGTGGCTTGGTCGTGAGGGCCGTGGTGATCCAGCCCACTGGATGGGCTGCTGCCGGGCCTGGGACGGAGGGAGGCAGGCTGCCCCTTGGAGCAGGATATGGGGGTGCATTCGGGGTCCGCTTGGGGGCTTTTCTGCCGTCAGAGGGCTCCCCTGCTGGTGGTGGTATAGCTCGACACCGGGTGTTCCTCCCAGCACCCAGAGTAAGTTACACTTGTATCGCATGGCCCCTGGCTGGTCCTGAGGGCGGGAGGTGGGGACAGTAGCTGGCCCCACTCCGTGGGCAAGGCCTACCACTGGCTGCCCCATAAAACACCTTCCTTCCACCTCCTCCTGCACTCGGCGATCTCTGCCTGGCCCAGCAGAACAGACAGTCGCCCCTTGTCCCGGGCTCCTGCTCTCTGAGCTGGGCCAGCAGAGCTGGACCTGCACGTAGAAGTGCTTCCCTGGCTGAAGGACTGTGTGTCTACGACACAAATCAAAACCCACGGCTGTCCCGGGCCAGCCGACTTGGGCTCGGGCTGTGGGGCTGGTTCTTTGCTGTGCAGGCGTCTGGGCTTGGGCCTGCGCTCAGAGACCCTCCCACCGTGGAGAGCCTAGAGCCTGGGCGCAGCCCGAGCCCGGGAGTCTCTGCAGCAATGAAACAGCCTCACAGCCTGAGCCTCACGAGAATTGTTCCTCGAAGGTGGCGTCTCCAGCGTGTTGCTGGCACGCTGCCCCACGGCTGGATGGCTGGCTAGCCTGGGGCTGTGCCGCTGCCGGGGATGAGTCTCTGGCACTTCCCTCTTGCTCTCTGCAGCCTGGGGGGCTACTGGTACTACATGGCTGTGCTTACTTGTCTGACGGTGAACACCGTGAGATGCCCCTTTATGGGAGAAGGTGTGCACCAGTGAGGAGGGCAAGGTCATGGGACCCTGGGCACCTCGGTCCTAGCTCCAGCGCTGCCCTTAGCTAGCTTTGTTAGTGAATCTCCCAGGGCCTCTGTTTCCCCTTTTGTAAAATGGGACCATTCCTGTGCACACCCACCCATGCCCCTTGGAGAGTTCCAAGCCATCTATTGTAATGGCCAGGGCTTCCCTCTCCAGGGGCTGGCAGGTCGGGCCGAGGTAGCCCTCCATGAGCACTTCCTGGCTTCTTGGATCCTGATCCCTCCTGGAAGGAGCCCACTGACTGATGCAAATCACGATACGCTCCGACAGGGCGAGAGCCGTGGTCCGGGAGCTGGTGGGATGCTGAATGTTTGGGCGGGTACTTCCCAAGGGAGCAAGGCCCCTCTCCTTGCAGGAAGAGTGGCGTTTGCTCTTTGGCCGTTTCCAACAACGGCAGTCTGATGGGGTAGAGGTCCCGCAGTGTCTGGAGTGGTGACGGCCTTGCCAAGAGAGGAAGGTGGGAGTGGAGGAGAGAGGGGGGGGCCTTTGGGAGGAGATGAGGCCAGAGGGACTTGGAGGATCAGAGCATGACTCTCGGGAACACCTGTACTCAAGAGGGAGCTACAGCGCTTAAGGTGAGAGCTGACAAATGCAGCAGGTGTGAATGATTCAGCTGAGTGAAGGTCGAGGCGGCTGCTGATACAGGCCATGCCAGGGAGGGCCGAGCAAGCGTGTTCTTCGCTGAACGCCGCCGTGCGTGATCTGCGTGG